CACCTCTCCACATACCCAGCATCGTTGCTAGGTCCTTTTTATATAGTTAATCCTCACAGCAGCATTGTAAGATAAATATTTTACTGAAACTGAGATAAATTAAATACTGTGTACAAGGTCATGCAGCTTTTGAGTTATGGAGCCCGATTTTACATTTTTACTGGAATGCAGACCCAAGTCCTTATGACACTGTTCTTTCCACTCTACTCTCTTGCCTTGCCTTTCCTGTGCTCTGGGGAGGGAAGAGGAAAGAGTGGTAAATTTGAGTACTCTCATGCGGCAGGACTCTTGTCCCCCAGCTGCGGGACATCGGCCCACCTGGGGCCTTTGGAGACCTTGCTGCCACCACCTGCATTTCCTAAGAGCGAGATTGGAGATGAGGTGGAGGAGGGGGAGAGAGGCAGGGAAAGAAGGTGGGAAGGTGTGTGGTGCGGGTTGGAAGACAGGCTGTATAGATGGGAAACCAACCTAACTGGAACAAAGAACCCTGCCCCCCAAACTCCACCCCAAACTGCAGCCCTCCCATCATTTTCACCCTGGACCCCTGTTTCATAGTATGGTCCCGGAACCACTTGTATTAGAATCTCTTGTGCGGGGTGGGGGGCAGTTGTTAAAAATGCGGATTCCCTGGCGTCACCACAGAGGTACTAAATCCCAATTTCTGGGGGGTAGGGCTCACCAATGTGCATTTTCAACAACCGCTCCGGGTAATTTCGCTCAGGAGACACTTTGATTAGGAACAATCATCCCAGACCAGTGTCTTCCAACTCTTTTGGATCATGCACCCTCTTCAGAAAGAATTTTTTGCACATGCACTTTCAATGTATGTTGGTAATTTATTAATAAATTCCTTATATGTACTAATGTCCTAATGTTTACGTTTTTAAATGCAAAAAATGGTGAGACTTTTGCATTAGTATTCTTAGATGAGCCTGGTTTCTAGTTTGCCTTTATGTATGTTCTAGTTGTTGGGTTTTCGTATTGACATCATGCAGGACTCTTTTCTTCTCCCTCAATAGATTCCAGAGTCTAGGAAGTGTAAATAGTATTGAGGTTGTCTGTTCCTTTACGGCTGGTAGAATTAACACAAGACTGCGTGAGTGTGTTTTTTTTGTCAAATTTATCAACATTGTTTCCTATGGTAACAGGTGCGCTTAGATATTTCCATTCTTCTGCAGTTTTGGTAATTTTTGTTTTCCTAGAAAACCATCCTAAGCTTTCTAATTTGTTTTCATAGAGTAGAGCCAAGTATTCTCTTACTCTTTTCATTTACTCTGCAACTGTGGTTATTTCTCTATTTCTTATTTTGTGCATTTGGGGTTTTTAATTAGACTAGCAAGTGGTTTATCTTTTTTATTGTTTTATATTTCCTTTTGAAGAAGTAGCTTTTGGCTTTAATTATTAATTCTACCATTTGTTTTCCAATGTATTAATTTCTGCCATTAGTTTTCTCTCTGCTTTGCTTAGCTCTATTTTTGTGGCTCTTTTCTTGACTTTTTTGTTCAGTGTTTAATTCATTGATTTTAATTTGTTCTTACATATTAATGTAAGCATTGAAGGCTTCGGTTTTTCCTTTGACCACTGCTTTAGTCAGTCAAATTCTCTAGCTTCTGATATTTCATTGTTGTTATTTTCTAGGTATTCTACAATTTCAGATCAGATTTCTTTGACTAGAGTGGGGAATACTTTTTTCCCTTTTATTTTCTATGTACTAGAAGTTTTTGTCTTTCATTTTTGTTACTAATTTCTAGTGTTTTTATGTTGTGATTAGGTACCATAGTCTGTACTTCTTTCATTTTTTGACTTAATATAGAGTCAATTTAAAAAAGGTTCAATGGACCCTTGAAAATAGAGAAATTTAAATATTCCCATTATCTTAGTTTTGACTGTCACATCTGTCATCAGCTGAAACAGCCTCATATTTCATTGCTCCCTTTTTCTACCTTTGCATTTCCTATGTCTTTTGCTTTATGAATTTTGATGCTATGTTATTTGACACGTAAAGATTTAGGGTAGTTAGATCTTAATCATGTGTTCTAACCACGAATTTATAGTGCCCTTCTTTGCCTTGTTTGTTAATTTTTGCCTTTAATTCTACTTTGTTACGATACAAATATCATGGCTGTTTTTTTTTTTTCATTTTTGGCATGAATCATTTATTTTATAATTTTATCACAGTATACTTGATACACAAAGTTACATTTGCTTCAGGTATACAACATAGTGATTTGAGAAGTCTATACATTATGCTGTGCTCACAAATGTAACCGGAGGCCTGTATCTCCCACTCCTCTTCACCCATTTTGCCCATCCCCTCTGCCCCCACCCGTACCCTTCTGGCTACCATCAGATTGTTTTCTGTATTTATGGGTCTGTTTCTGCTTTTTGTTTATTTGTTCATTTTGTTTTTTAGATTCCACATATGAGTGAGATCATATGGTATTTGTCTTTTTCTATCTATCTGACTTATTTCACTTAGCATTATACCCTCCAGGTCCATCCGTATTGTTGCCAATGGCAAGATCTCATCCTTTTTTATGTCTGAGTAATATTCCTGTGTGTGTGTGTGTGTGTGTGTGTGTGTGTGTACCATCTTTTATCCATTCATCTTCTTTATCCATTCATCTGTTGATGACACTGGGGTTGCTTCCATATCTTGGCTATTGTAAATAATGCAGTGAACATAGGGGTGCATATATCTTTTCAAATTAGTGTCTTCATTTTCTTTGGGTAAATACCCAGTGGAATTACTGGATCATATGATATTTCTATTCATTAATCCATTTATTAAACAAAATTTATTAAATGCCTACTGTGTGCCAGGCTCTAGGTACTAGATAAACGAGACACATAAGATCCCTGCCCTCAAGAAGCCTACATTTTAGTTAGAGAGTGGAGCATAAATTAAACAAGTGAAGGTAGATATGTGATATAATACTAAGTGGAGATGTGTGTTCTGAGAAAGAACAAAATGGAAAGAGGATAGTGAAGGATAAGTCATCTCTATTTGAGATAAGGTGGTCAGGAAAATCCTCTGCCTGATAGCATTTGTCAACCTTTTACTCTCCACTCACCACCTTGTTTGATTCCTGCTGGAGGAAATGCCAGGTGAAACACTTTGCACACAAGGAGGAACTTATAATCTTAAGGAACTATAGGTGGGCAAAGGCGAGTGATGAGCTAGCCACGACGGGGACTGGAGATGAGCTGACTGAAGGAGATTTGGTTCTTCATTCTATCTGAGCTTGGCTACCATTATGTGTATGATTATTTTTTAAAGAAATATTCTCAGTCTTCAGTATGACTATTGAATGGGTATTCTGTCTGATGATTTAATTGAACTGCTGGAATTTCCTGTCACTAGGCAATACTTAGCATGATGCTGATTGCTCACAGGCTACAGCAGGAAACCAGGTCTTCTGGTTTAGAGGGTTTAACTCTTTATACTCTGAGACTAAAGAGCCGTCCTTTGACTTTGGTCACTCTTTATTATACAGAAGTTTGACTTTTTATGCATATTTTTATACATATTTAAATCAACCTGGACTTCTTTCTTTGGATATTTTTTCTATTGCTTATAAGATGAGACTCTCATTTTGCCTCACAAGTGACAGTCTTTTTAATCTTCTGATAGTTTTTTCTTTTAAACATAGAATATATATACCTGTATACACATATAACACACATTAAAATACACACACACACATACCCTTAACTCTTGAATCTGGAATTTATTTTGGTACATAATAGAGGGTGCAGCTCCAAATATCACTGCTCTGCAGTTATCTCAAAAAAATTTTTTTAAAAATCATTCTTTATCTCCTTGTTATGGAAGGTGAATTATATACGATGTTTTTATAGATAGTTCAATGTGTTTCTGGAGTTTTCATTCTGTTCTACTAATCAGTAACACACTGTTTTCATTATAATTGCTTTATAATATGCCTAATCCCTCACCCCCATTTCTTCTGTAGCAAAATACTTTTTAATATTGTATCTCACGGGCGCCTGGGTGGCTCAGTTGGTTAAGCGACTGCCTTCGGCTCAGGTCATGATCCGGGTGGGAGTCCCAGGATCGAGTCCCACATCGGGCTCCCTGCTCAGCAGGGAGTCTGCTTTTCCCTCGGACCCTCTCGTGCTCTCTCTCTCTCTCTCTTTCTCTCTCTCAAATAAATAAAATCTTTAAAAAATATATTGTATCTTACTTCATGTTGCAAATTAATAAAAAATGCTATAGTTAAAAATTCCTGTTGAGAATTCTGACTAGAATTGCATTAGAAGGAGCTGTTTTAAACCCAAAATTGTAGATATTTGTGAATTGCCTGCTTGGTATCTTTTGGTACAAGTATAAAAACACAGACAGAAAGCATGTCAAATTCACGATACAGCTTGCATCTGGAGAGGCAGCAGGGGAATAGAAGTGGGGAGCAAAACAAAGGGTATTATGTATCTCTTTTAAAAAAAAATCATCAAGTATAGATGGCAGAGTATTAAAATGTGCTAATCCTGGGCAGTCGGTGGGAGCATGGATATTTATTATAGCAATCTCTGTATGTCTCTAAATATTTAAAATTTTTCGTGATTGAAAACAAAGCAAACAAAAACAATGTAACAGGATAATCAGACTTGTAAGCCCCAGTACACAGCACATTCAATCTGCGTGCTACAGAGTGAGGTAGTGTGTGTATCCAGTCTTTGGAGCTAGACTGTCCAGGTTCAAATCCTAGCACTACCACTTACCAGCTTTAGGACCCAGAGCAAGTTACTTAACCTGCCCATACCTCAGTTTCCATGGCTATAAAATTGGGACGATAATAAGAGCTACATCCTGGGGTCATTGTGAGTATTAACTAAGTTAAGACGTGGAAAGCACTTAAACCAGTGCCTGGCATTTAGTACCTACTTAATAAGTGTTAGCTATCAGTATTATGTGTTAGTATTACTATTCTTATGATTGCATTTACTACGTATGCTTGCATTGTTTTATGGCCGTCTTAAAGTTTACAGAAATGATGTTATCCGAAACATGGGGCCATCTGCAACGTGCTCGGTTTACACAATCCCCGTCTTGCTGTTCTGCAGGGAAATGGCTCATTCCAAGGCTAGCTTTCCGTGGGCAACCCCGTCCCATCCTTGCCTTGAGAACCCGGCACTGGACTTCTCAAGCTACCGAGCGATCTCTTCCCTTGACCTTCTCGGAGACTTCAAGCACTCTTCAAAAACAACAGAGGAAACTTCTGCCTGTGAGGAGGGGAGCTCCGTGGCCTCCATGCCCCGCCCGCTGCGTAGCCGTGCCTTCTCAGAGAGCCACATCAGCTTGGAGCTGCAGAGCTCCCGGGCCTGCGGGCAGCATAGGAGGGAGCCCTTTACCAAAGCTGATGAGACCCAGCCGGATCCTCCGGGAGCCCGGAAGAAGGCCTTTCCTCCTCCTCGCCCGCCTCCTCCCAACTGGGAGAAGTACAGGCTCTTCCGAGCAGCCCAGGAGCAGCAGAAGCTGCAGCGAGAGGAGGAGGAGGAAGAGGAAGAAGAGGAAGAAGAGGAGGAAGGGGGAGAGGAGGAGGGGGAGGAGGAGGAGCTCCCACCCCAGTATTTCAGTTCAGAAACCGCTGGTACCGGAGCCCTCCATCCTGAAGAGGTCCTGGAGCACCCACAACCCCTGGGCTTTGGCCACTTGGAGGCTTCGAGGCAGGGCTCACAGAGCCTCCCAGCAGAGCAAGAGTCCTTTGGTCTCCATCCCAGCGATTTCCTGCCTCCAATAAGGGGCCACTTGGGATCTCAACCTGAGAAGGCTCAACCCCCTTGCTGTTACGGTGCGGGTGGGCTTTGGAGGACATCAGAGAAGGAGACCACTGATCCCCCCAAGTAAGTGCTTATGAAAGAAAGGTCCCCCGGGCGGCTGCATCAGGAGTGTGAACTCCACCTCCACCGTTTACCAGCTGTGTGACCTTGGCTTGGTCGATTGATTAAACTGTTCCCAGCCTCACATTTTTCTCACCAGGAAAATGGGCATGATGATACCCATTCCACTTGGCTGTCGTAAAGATGAAGACCATCTCTCTAAAGTAGGGAGCCCCGTGTGTAGCTCATAGTAGGTGCTCGGTAAATGGTCGTGGCTGATGTTCTTAACGATCACTGTCAAAATACTACCTTATCTCTCAGTTTGCCTTTTAAGGTATGCATCAGTTTCAGGCCCCTGAGCCAGAAGGCATTAAGCCCTCCCTGCCTCCTGGCATTTCCCCAGAGCCTGGCTGAGGCCCTTTCCTGCCTTTTTCTTTTGCTCGCTCTCTAGAATGAGAGGCCAGCTCACAGCCTGACCAGCCTCTGCTCTAGGACCTGCCTGGGCTTCTAAACTCTCCCCGCAGCTGCTCCTGGGGGTGGGGGGCACTTTATGCCCCTCTGTTCCTTACAAAAGTCAAGGGCACTCCTCTCCTCTGCCTTTCTCTCCATCCCCTCCCTGCCCCAGCCCTGTGCTCCTGCCTCTTTGCATTTGCTTCGGTGGGCCACAGGTGGTAGTTGACGGGGTGAGCTGCCCGGGCAGGGCAGGCAGAGCAGGAGTGTAGCCCGGCCACCAGGCTGTTGGTGTCTGTGTGCCCCACTGCGCATGCCCTACAGTGCCTGGCCCTTGTCCTGTTGGCTCCAGAGCGAAGGAGCTCTGGCCTCTGGCTCTGCCCGCCATCCTGCCCAGAGCTCAACCCGCACTCTGCTGGGGCAGCGGGTGGGGGGCAGGTATTGATCCCATAGGTGCTTTCTTTAAATCCTTCTACAGAAGGAACTTGCCTGAGACTCGTTGCTATTAGAAGTACCTCGTTTTCGTGTCTTTTACCCACCCACAAACCCTTCACCCAGCCATCTGGAACTAGTTGAGAAGTTTCCCAGCACAAGGTGCACAAGCAGAGCGCGACAGGGCCTAGCTAGCTCCTAGCTAGCTCTTAGCCACCGGGAGGGTCTCTCATCGGAGCCCTCGCGGCTGCTTCTCAAGCTGTCCAGCTAGCTGGGGGGCGTTCTTACTGTAATCAGAAGATGTTTTGTGGAAAGCGACTGTGGTTGCTCCCTATCACAGCAGGGAGAAGGGAAGGTGACCTAGCATATAGTAGGCACTTAACATTTAAGAAGACAGAATGAATAAACCAATGGCTGAACGTGTATGAAGTATTCGCTGTGTGCCACACACCACTAGTCGTTCTATACCCATTATTTCATTTAACCTCCCAACAGCCCTGTGCGCCATTTGACAGATGATTCCCATTTGACAGATGCAGAAACTACAGCTGAGGAAAATAAGGGACGAAGGGACTTCGATTCCAAAGCTAGATCTGTGTGACTCTAAAACCTACGCTTCATTTGCCATCCTAGGCAGCCTTTCTCAGAGAGATCTTGTTCTTGCAAAAGGCCAGGCCTTTACAAGGCCCTCTTGGCCCCTGTAGGGCAGAGTGTCCCAGCGATCGTAGTTAGAGGCCCCAGACTTGCCCTTTCAGCCTCCTAGTCCTTCCTCCTTTTATGTACCTCCATTCACCTTGGCGCCTTGGCCAGAGAGAAGGAAACTGCTATTACTAGAGATCTTGTAACTCGTTCCAGAGATTTATTTTTTTTTAATGACTATAGGATGCAAGGGGAAATATCTGTTTGCACACAGCCCTAGCTAGCTGTGGCTGCAGAAAATCAATTATAGATGCCTCTCTGAATGATGTAGATTTAAGGAACAGCATTATTCCCAACAAAGCTAATATTTTTTTTTTTGCCTGCTTCCTATGTGCCAAGCATTGTTCTAAGCAACCTTTGTGTGTTGATGGATTTAATCTTCACAACCAACCTGTGAAATAGATATCATTAGTGTCCTACATCTTTTAGGTGAGAAAAGTGTGGCACAGGGAGGCTAAAGTAACCTGCAGAAGATCACAGGTAGTCAGGACCCAGGCTGTCTGGCTCACTGTGCCCAGTACATCCTCCCAGGATCTCTGGGCTCCTCAAGATCCTATTCCAGACCCTGGGAGAGCATAGGGTTCTAACCAGAAGGAAGTGGCTTTAAGACTTTGTAAGGGAGAAGTGTTAGGGGCAGGTAGATGTATCAGATTTTGAATCTAAAATACAAAAAAAAAAGACATTCTAATTTCAGCCAAGTCAAACCAGAGCATTTCTATAACCCACATACTATTCAGTTACAAAACTCTGGGATACATCTAAAACCAGGTTAGTGGAATTTTCAAGTGTTGGTTAAGTCTCCTAACTCTGGTTCGAGTACAGGTATAGTTTGCTTTCTGAACTCTGTGCATTTCCTCTCAGTGCTCTGCAGAAGGAATCTGATTTTTGCTTCAGTGTTCATTATCAAATGCAGATTATGTTGTCATAGATCTCCTGGAACTCCTGCCCTATTAGTGGAGATTATGAGGACAGGAGCTCTAGGACATAATGCCTAAGATGATATGCTGTGATATGGTGCAGGGCTGTGTCCACTGCGATCTGAGTCTATAATTAGCATATCCTTTTAAAAAATATTTCCAGTTTTATTGAGATATAACTGACATACAGCCACATCGTTTTTTCCCCCTTAGTTCTGTACTTTCTTTCAGTGCTTTCTGACTCAGAACTCTCTCACACATGCCCTAAATATTTTTTCTTATAGATAAGAACTCCCTAAGTTCATATATTCCTATTCCCTCCAGAATATTCTCTCTTGTCTGCTAACATAGATATAGTCCAGCCAGAAAATTCCTTACATGCAAGGTTTTATATGATGTCAAGTTGTCCCTTTGGCAGTATAGCATAGTGGCTAAAAGTAGAGATTCTGGAGTTAGGTCATGTAGGTCTAAATCATGGGTCTGTCATTTACTGTCTGGTGACCTTGGGGAAGTCACTTTCCCTCTCAGTACCTCATGTTCCTTATCTCTAAAATGGTTGCCACGAGCATTAAATTTTTTATCTCTATCTACACACACACACTCAGACACACCTACAGAAAAGCACATCTTAAGACAGCTTCTAGGACATGGTAAGTGTGAGTGAATATTAGCTAGTATTGTTCGTTTATTAGCGTCATTAGCTTTAAAAACCCACATGTAAAATGAATACCTTGGATGAGGAATATTGGCATGCCCAAGTTTCTTTTGTGTGATGAATTAGGAGAGAGCATAGCATGAATCAGTAAATAGCTGTGGAGCCTTTTAACCATTATTTTTGACCTTTATCTAAGAGCTGCAAGAAGCTGCAAAAATGACTAATGAGTTTCTCCTATTTTTCCTTTCAAACAGCTAGAGGTTAGCAAAGGGGCAGTGACACAGACAGGTGGAGGGTAGGGGTGGCTGGTAGGCAACAAGAATATAGTGGGGGTGGGCCCCCCTCTTGCATGAACCATGAGTGGAATTCTTTCCCCTCCCATCACTGAAACCTGACATTAAAGCATTTCTCCTTCTTTCCTTCCTCACGCCAGACCAGAAGCCTCGATGGCAGAAGAGCCCAAACCCAAGCCAGCGTGGAACCAGAGCTACTTCTTTCCACAGGAGCAGTTCACTTTCATGGGCTGGGGCTCTGAGAAGCAGCACCTCAGCCCCACGGGCTTCAGTGAACCGAAGACAACAGGGTCTGCCGCTACACTTGTCAAGCCCCTGGGTGCCACTGGTTCCATTTTTTCCCCATTTCATTCTGCAACCGTGGAGGAGGCTGGGGCCACTGGGGATATGGCAGAAGTGGAGAGATGCTATCCTTTCCCAGGCCGAAGGCCTGCCTCACAGGCAGTCTCAGAAGAGCTCATGAGAGATGTGGTAGGCCGTGACAAGTCCCTGGCAGGGGTGTTAACCCCAGCCTCCAGCATGGTGACCACTGCTGAGGTCATGGGTGACCTCTTTGCTGTGGGAGATCTGCAATGGACGGGCCATTTCAAGCAGGAGTGGCACCACCAGGAAAGAAGAAATTATGCAAGTGTCCAGGAAAGCCATGGGGTGCCTTTGTAAGCAAGCAGACTAGATAGAGCTGGAGTGGGCGGCGGTGCGGGCTGGGTAGGAGGGAGGCCAACAGTCTTGGAGGATGAATAGCTAAGGTCTCAGATAGATCCCTACCACTTCCTCCCTCCCTGGGGATTCATATGCCGGGGCCATGAACTGAGGGGAATCCTGGAAGATCAGAAGCGCAGAACTTTGGGGCCTGCCAGTCTTTCTAGATCTTAGTGGGGCGCTGACCAAACCAAATCACCCCTAAAGAAGTTCCCCTACCTGTTGAAGTCAGGGGCATAGAAATAGCCTTCTAAGTTCTCAAAGTTGGCCTTGCCTTGGCTTCTGGGTAATCTTCATGTGGCCCGTTGACATTTCAACAGTGCTTCCTGGTCCATCATTTCCTTATTCCATAGCTCTTTGGTGAAGCAGGGTCCCATTTTTCACAAATGGGGAGATTAACAAGCAGAAAGTTCAGGAGCGTCTCTGACAGAGGTGCTCAAATGGTCATTCTTTGTTTCTACAGACAAGAATTTCAGCACTTCTCGCCTCCTCCGGGGGCCCCAGGGATCCCTACCTCTTACTCAGCTTATTACAATATTTCTGTGGCCAAGGCAGAACTGTTGAACAAGTTGAAAGACCAACCCGAGATGGCAGAGATTGGCCTGGGAGAGGAAGAAGTTGACCACGAACTGGCTCAAAAAAAGGTGAAGTTTTCTGATATGCCTTAGATTTTCACCATTTAGTTTGCGTGTCTGGAGGTTGACCTGCCCTCTATGCTCTCCGGAACAACTTGGTGCATCCCCGTTTCTTCAGTATGGACATCAAATAGCCTCTCTGGGTTCCTCACAAATGCAACTCCAGTCTCTTTTTGATCCAGCCAATAATAGTAGTGGTAGTAATAGAAATCATCAACATCATCATCATCATCATCACTGTGTCTCTTGAATCCTTAAAGCAACTGGACAGTGATCCCCTTTTTTACCAGTTGAGAGGATTAGGTTGCCCAGGGTTACAGACCTATTAATAGATCCAGGACTTGAATGAAGTCAAGACTGTCTCACTTTCTACTTTATCGCGCCTTCCCTCTGAAATAAGCCAGCCTTGTAAGTAACTCGCCGCCCAGGGCACATCAGAGTTTTTGCCAGCGAGCTCAAACCAGTAGCAGCCATTGATTGTATTCTCTGTGTAACTTTCTGGAAGAGGGAATAGACTGACTAAGCCAAAAAAAAAAAAGGAGAAAGTAGAGGCTGGTAAATTCTAGTATTTCTTTGCAAGAATAATCAATAATGTCTTAAAAATACTAGAATGAGCAATAGAAAAGATGTTGTTGTTCCAAAGCCTCCCCGTTCTTCCTGTAAGCATCACTAGGCTAGTTTTCTAATCAAATTCCTGGAATCACTTTGCCCTCCCTGCACTTACCCATTTTATTTTGTAAGCAAATAGGGTTTCCATGGCAACCCCAAAGGCCTAATTTACCACTTTGTGAACATCTGAACTCGATGTAAATTGCTCCTCTGCCTATGCTTCTCATTCAGGACATGACCTGTAGGAAAGCTGGAGGCCATTTGCTGGAGACCCCCCACCACTTTCAAATCTGAAGCAAAATGTCAGGGAAAGAATTGGAAGCATGGTGGCATCAAAGTTGTATTGATCCAGATGCCTGCCTCCTTGGATTCTGTGTTCCCTGAGCGTGGCAAGGCTGCTCCTGGCTTACTCAGGACCTTTTTATTAGGAGCAAACCTAATAAGAGTCTGAGCAGGAAAAGAGAAAAATGATCAGAAATGGCAAAGCACGGAACAGCAGGTAGTGATTTGAAGTGATTGTGGGGGAGCTAGGACAGCTTTTGTCTGAGGAAGACAGGTGAAGAAGGTCACCAATTTGCAATATCCTAGAAAAGCAACTCAGCTCTAGCTGGGTCTGTGATGACTCCTTAGCTCTATCCAGTACACTTTCCCCAGGACTGAAGTTCAGGTTGCAAAGGCAGGTGCCAAGAAACAAAGGGCTCTCTTCACTTGCATCCTTCCGGATCTATGGAATGATGGAACCGAAGAGCTAGGGTGGGTAGGTGATTTTCCAAGTTGATCATTTGGCCCCCAGCCCTCCCTTGTCCCTGGCATTGAGTTTTGTTTGGGAGAGCAGAGGGTAGGGATATAACTGGGAGCCTCTTGGTATCTAATTGTATTGCCTCATTCATATCATTGATCCCTGATTCCCAGTGAGTTTTAGAATTTTACTTACATGTAAACCGATGACACTTCAGACTTAAGATCATAGTGATCTCCTGACTTCTGGCCAGTTCTGAAATAGATACGAGGCCCTGGACCCAGAGCTGGCTCTCTTGGGACATTTCTTGGACACTTCTCCTTGGACATTTCTAAATAAACTACTAGAAAGGAGCACATGCTAGAAAACGACAAGCCTGTGGTCCCAGAGTGCCTGAGTGTGAATAATAATAAAACAAACCCTAAAGCAGGGCGCACGGGTGGCTCAGTCAGTTAAGCATCTGGCTCTTGATTTTGGCTCAGGTCATGATCTCAGGGTCAGGAGATTCGAGCCCTGCATCGGGCTACACGCTAGGCGTGGAGTCTGCTTAAGATTCTCTCTCTGCCCTTCTCCCCCAGCTCACGTGCACTCTCTCTCCCTCTCTCTCTAAAAAAAAATTATGAAAAGAACAAATACACGCTGAAGCATACTTCAGTATATATACACAAGATACAAGATACAAGATACTGTTCTAAGTGTGTAAACTGTATTAACTCATTTCATTTTCAGAACAGTACTATGAGGTAGGTGCTATTGTTATCCCATTTTTTAGATGGGGAAATTGAAGCACAGAAAGGCTGAGTGATTTGCTCAAGGTTACACTGGTGCTTTGTGGCAGAACTGGGGTTCAAACCCAAGTAGTCTGGCACTAGAGTCCATGCTCTTAACCACAATGCCATGCTGAATGCAAAGGCTGTGTGCAACCTGGGGCGGCTCCGTTCTTGTTAGGACTGTGCACCAGACAAGCTTCTGCTAGTTCAGCGTGCCTGGTAATAATAATAACAACAACAACAACAACAGCGGCAGCAGCCCTAAATAGGTATTGAGCACTTAAGGGGCCAGGCACAATACTAAACATTTTACTTTATGATCTCATTTAACCCCCACCAAGGTGGCAGGGTGGGGGAGGAGAGGAGAAGCGTCTCCAGTTTACAGATGAGGAAACAGAAGACTCTGTGAGATTGGGTATCTTGCCCAAGGTCACACAGTTTGGAGGGGGTGGGAATTGGAATCCAGGCATCTCTGACTCCAAACGGCCGCTCTACCACACTACCTTCCTGTGAGTGGGGTTCCAGAACTCGTTACACTCAGAGGGGAGACAGATCAGAAGACACAAGCAGTTTTTCCCTTAAGAAACTTATCATCAGGGCACCTGGGTGGCTCAGTTGGTTAAGCGTCTGCCTTCGGCTCAGGTCATGATCCCAGGGTCCTGGGATCAAGCCCTGCATCGAGCTCCCAGCTCGGCGGAAAGCCGGCTTCTCCCTCTGCCTGCCACTCCCCCTGCTCGTGCTCTCTCTCTCTCTCTCAAATAAATAAATAAAATCTTTAAAGAAAAAAGAAACTTATCATCAGTAGGAGACAGATCAGATGCACCCACGTGAAACAGGGAATGAACAACTTCAAATTATACTCTAGCGTTCTATTTCTGAAAGGCAGGAGAGTTCAGAAAAGAAAGAGATCATTGAGAGACGGGGTATGGAGGCAGAAGCTTCCTGCAGGGAGGGTGGGAACAAAGCTGGGCCCTGAGGAAAGAAGGGAAATAGCCAAAGTGAAGGAAGAGATGGAGAGCAGGTAGAACTGCATGAAGCAAATCAGGAGCACAAGGATGAGGGTTGTAAATGCAGATGGAATGAGGAGCTAATCCTGAAAGGTTCAGAGCCTTGAGACTGGAATGGTAAGGTGGGGCCAGGCGGAGTGACAGCCTAGTGGCCCGCCTTTATTAAACACTTAGTCCCTGCTAAGTCCATGGCATGCATCATCTCATTCAATGAAGTGGGTCCTACAATTATGCCCATTCCGCAGATCAAGAGTGAACTCCACAAAGAAACCCACCCAAGGACACACAGCCAGGAAGGTGGCAGAACTAGAAGTCAAACCTAGTCGTCGGGACTTCAGAACTCAGTCCCCAAAAGGCCTCAAAAGCCAAACGGAGGGGGGTGAAGGGCCAGCACAGGGCCATGCACACAAGACCTAACTCAGTGGATTGAAGGAGAATCAATGAAGTCAAAGGCAAATACTTGATGACAATGCTTTTCCAACCCATGCTCTCACAAGCATTCCAATTCCTGTTTGTTAAATGGTCTCAGCCAGTATTTATTAAGTTACATCTGGCAAATGAGAACTAGTCCCTGGGTACCACTTATCTGATGCCAGGAAGTTTGGTGGTGACTGATTCCTACCAGATCTGAAGAGATAGATGGGAGAGAGGGCGCCTGTCCAGAAAATTGGAATTGCTCATGACTTGCTCGGGTTTCCTTTGTTTCTGATGACGGGTAGAGCCTGCCATCTGTTTCCAGATGGAAACCTCCATCCAAAACGGAGGTTATAGGCACAGATCAGTTTCTGTCAGTCCCCATTCTCATCCTTTGCCTTCTCTTGTTGATTTCTCCTAGATACAGCTTATTGAAAGCATCGGCAGAAAGCTTTCTGTCCTGCGGGAGGCCCAGCGAGGACTGCTAGAGGACATCGGTGCCAATTCTGCCCTTGGGGAGGAGGTGGAGGCCAATCTAAAAGCGGTCTGTAAATCCAACGAGTTTGAAAAATACCATTTGTTTATCGGGGACCTGGACAAAGTGGTCAACCTATTGCTGTCCCTCTCTGGACGACTGGCCCGGGTGGAGAATGCTCTCAACAGCATCGATTCAGAGGCCAACCAGGAGAAGGTAGAGTTGGGGTCTCGGGTGGATGGAGGGAAATGCCATCTGTTCCTTCTCGGGACTCCCTCTTTCAAGTCTGGCTCATCTGGGAGACAATAAAGCATAGTGTTAAGAGTGTGGGCACTCGGGCGCCTGGGTGGCTCAGTTGGTTGAGCGACTGCCTTCGGCTCAGGTCATGATCCTGGAGTCCTGGGATCGAGTCCCACATCGGGCTCCCGGCTCGGCGGAGAGCCTGCTTCTCCCTCTGACCCTATCCCCTCTCATGCTGTTTCTCTCTCTCTCTCTCTCAAATAAATAAATAAATAAAATCTTTAAAAAAAAAAAAAGAGTGTGGGCACTCGCTTTTAAGTGCCTGGAAATTCTGGCTTTACCAATAATTAGCTGTGTGACTGTGGGCAACTTACTTGACCGTACTCTGTCTCAGTCTCTTCAAAAACACACTACCTCCACCTCATGGGGTTGTGAGAATTAAATTAGATAATCCAGAGCTCCTGGGTGGCTTAGTCACTTAAGCATCTGCCTTCGGCTCAGGTCATGATCCCGGGGTCCTGGGATCGAGCCCCGCATCGAGCGCCCTGCTCAGTGGGGGATCTGCTTCTTCCTCTCACTCTCCCTCGGTGCTCTCCCTCTCCCCCTCAAATAAATAAAATCTTTAAAAAATAAATAAATTAGATAATCCATATTAATTACTTAAAACAGGGCCTGGAACAGGGTAAACACTGAATGAGGGCTACCTTCCAGGAGTAGTAGCAGTAATAGTAGTAACAGTAGTAGTAGTAGTATCGATAGTGTTAGTGGTAATAATAGCAGTAATAGTAGTAGTAGGATTGGTGCCGACGGTGGTAGGAAGAGTAGTAGCAGCAGCAGCAGCAGCAATTTCACCTCACTCTCTCTCCGAGTTGGAGGATGAGGTCTCATCAAGTAGCTGAGATTGGGAGTCTATCAGTTTCACAGGTTGGGCCATTCTGCATAATTCCTTGAACCAAAGGGGCATTACCTTTCCGCACACAAGTGGTTTGGGATACAAATCGGAATCCACAATGAGAGGCACATACACACGAGCATACACGCATGGATACATACTCACACACGTACACCGACACGGAGACATGCGCCATTTTGAAAGCACTGTCATGGTGATCCTTTTTCTCCGGATGGAAGGGGCATGAGCTCGCTTTGTCAGAGCCTTCCCCCACCCTAACCCAGGTGGTGGTCCATGGATTAAAGGCAGCTTAGGAATGGAAAGGGGTGAATACACAGCGCCCTGTCCAGAAAGCACTGTTGTGTTCATCCTCCCCTCCCCCGCCCCATAAGAAAGAAGGGCTTTTGCATGAAGGTGGACTTCAGGGCAGGAAATCTAGGACTAATCAGTTAGCAGAGTGGGGAGCTGTTGGCGGCAGCATTCCTGGTGGAGCCGTGGGTTAGGCAGCCGACTGGGAACTGGGATGACTCTTAATTGGTCTATCTGATTCCTCAGTTGGTGCTGATAGAGAAGAAGCAGCAGCTGACAGGGCAGTTGGCAGATGCCAAGGAGCTGAAGGAGCATGTGGACCGCCGCGAGAAGCTGGTGTTTGGCATGGTCTCCCGCTACCTGCCTCAGGACCAGCTCCAAGATTACCAGCACTTTGTGAAGATGAAATCTGCTCTCATCATCGAACAGCGAGAGTTGGAAGAGAAGATCAAGCTTGGGGAAGAGCAGCTCAAATGTCTCAGGGAGAGCCTGCTCCTGGGGCCCAGCAATTTCTAATTCCACCAACAGATTGACCCGCCGTCGCTGCCCAGCCACAATGGGAAGTGCTTTCAATCTTTGTTAGCAGTTCGTTAGCAAGTAGATAGCAGTTAGTTAGCAGTTTGTTCCATAGCCTCTACCTTGGACATCTCTCACTGCCCCTTACCTAGCACTGTTCCCAACTAGCTAGGAGTCCCTTAGGAGGCCCCAAACTTCTACCTTAGGGAGCAAAAGCAAGAAGTAGGGGGTGCCCGCAGCAAGGTGTGATTATACAACCACACTCTCCTTCCCATGGTTTGCACAGGCAGGCACTCCCCGCACACAGAACCAACGAAGTGCCTGCATTCCTCTTGGTACAAGGACTCCAAAGACATCGTGCACTCACCACCCACCCATGCCACAACCAGCCTCTCAAGGCTCAGAGAGAAGCTGCCTGTACAGCTCCATCCTGCCCAAGGCTCGTGGCCCAGCCATTGCCCACAGAGATCTGGCTGTCTTGAGGGCCTCACTCACCAGCAATTTAAGGGCCTCACGTAAGCTTTACAGTGGGAAGCACAGAAGGAGAAATTACACGAAACAGAATGTGAGCAAAGATTGGGAATCCCTGGGTGCCCGCCTACCTTCCCCAGCATCTGGTTGAGGGGGAAGGAGGCCTACTCTCAGCCCTGTCTAGTGTGGCCCTCCTCCTGTCCTAAGATTTTTGGCCTACCACTTCCTGTCCCTTCCTGCCTTTCATTGCTGTGGCTTATAGGTGCCCACCCTAAGGGCTTCACACTATGGGCCATTAATAGCTCTACGAAAGCTGACTTCTGGATACACATTTCACTATTGGGGTGAGGGGTTCTTTGTTGTATTTTAAATGGCCTTTTGATTTTATTTATTTTTATGTTTTGATTTTTTTTCCTTTTTTTAACTAAGAAGGCGAGAAGAGGGGAGTCGGAGAGGGAAAGGTAATCCCAGAAGGAAAGCGTTTTCTGCAGATCAGCCTGAATTTCACCATGGCTAGATGAGCGAATGCCAAAGCCTTGAATTCTTCCCACCGAAGCCTACGAGGTCTAAAAAAGGAGTTCTCACCTTGAACTCAGCTTGCTATGACCTGGCCCTATACTTTCCTTGAAGTCAGGATACCCATAAGCTTAGCATTCCCCAACAGGGTTCAGTTTTTTTCTTACCTATTTTTTCTTGAAACCAAAGAAATCTGAAACTGACAAAGGTTCACCCATTTCTCCACCACCTCCCATCTAAGAAATTGGGTAGAAGGGAGCTCAGGAAGACATCTTCCATCTCACAATTGCTTTCTCCAGCCTGTGGCCAGACTCAGGGAACTGAAATTCATGGTAGCTAGAAGCTCCAGCCAGGGCCACCCCCCTCTGCCCCCCAGCCCCCCATCCCCCGCCCAGAGCAAATTACGACCCAGCCATGGTCTTAGGTGCACAAGCAACTAACGCTGCTGTTGTTGGCTAATGCTGCCAAGGTCCTGACACCACTAGCCAGTTTCTGTCCTGAAAAATTGGAAAATCCCTCAGGTGGGCGACGGCAGGAAAGGAGTTGGCCAAATGCTAGCCTACTAACCAGCTCTGTTCCCTGTTCCTCGCTCACTGGTGCCCCCAGTTCATGTTGCACAGCCCTGCCCAGCAAGCCCTGACATCTCTTCCAGTTACTGCTGAGTTCCTCGGGGTCCTTGGAGGTTAACTGTAGCAGCAGGGGTGCCTCACTCAGCCGAAGAATTTGCCAAAGAACTTTGCTGCAGCTACAAACACTGGTCTCTAGCTTCCGTTTCCTCTTCATTGTATTTGGAAACAATGGAAGAATCTTGGCCAGCAGGGTGTCCTGAGGGGGGCCCTGGGTATGCTCTTAGTACACTGCTGCTATCAGAACCACTGTTAAAATGTCAACTTGCCATTCTCCCCTCAAAGGGAGGAGTCTACTCTATTCAGGAAGGCTGATGGCTTGTAAAGGGCTAGGCTGACCCAAGCTGAGGTGGAGGAAGGTGGGGGAGTGCTATGAATAGAGGCTGTGGTTGCCATCTTTTTTTTTTTTTTTTTCTTAAACAGGCTCTAGGATAAATAAGGAGTAAGTTGAGATGTCCCATATTGGGGGGTGAGGCCAATATAATCCAACATTCTAAGATTTGGGGGGGTGCTTAGAACAGCTTTTTGGGAAACACAGGCCCAGAGAAAAGAGTGGTCACTTACCTGGACACAATGACCATGGTCTGTGATTTTCTAGTCAGCATTAGATTGGTTGTACATTAAATTTATCACACTAAAAGTACTATTGACTGTGTTATTTTTGTCCCTCATCCCACCTGAGATTAGAGTTGGAATCAGAACACCAGGATGCTCATTTTCACACAGAAGGACGGTTTCTAAAGCACTTAATAAAATAAACCCCAAAACTATACTGAGCAGTGAAGCTTGGCAGACACAGGGGAACTACTAAACAGGAACTAAGACCCTATGCTACAGACGTGAGTGACGGTGCTTCAGAACTGCCAGTATTACTTGAGATGCAGTGTCTCTCCCCTGTTCTCATTTCCTGGGCTCAGCCCTCTTGCAAGGTCTGCCAGGGGTAGCAGTTTGGAAGGCACACCAAGGGATTTTCCCAAAGACAGTTATTGGTCTTGACTTCTGTCCTCTCTCTTCGAATACTCATACAGGCCCCAGTGGGTAATAGGTTGATAGAAAGAGAGGAATCAGTACAAGGGTTCTATCACTTGTCCCTTCTTACTCCCCCACCCCAACACCGGGCTCTGGGTGATTGAGTCTCCTTGAGTCACACCAGCCGCAGACTCAGCCAGGGTTTAGTGGTAAATGCTCCAGGGGAACCTGGAGACACACTAAAAACAAAACCCTAGAAACAAAGAGACTGGAAGCAGAGGAACTGAGAGGGTGAAAGATGAAAAGCCTTTTTCAAGGCCAGGTTCAGGCTCTGTTTTCCATTTAACCTCCTGTGTCAAAAAGCTGCCCAGGGGCACCAGAGCCACAACCTGAACCCCAGTCTCCCTGAAGGTGCTGCTCTGCCCGTAGGAGCAAGTCCCAGATGGAGGAAGCTGGGCACATTTATGGCCACTTCCTCCTGTCTGGAGCTTGGTGACTCCCACTGTCTTTGCCAAAGGAGTTGTCTATGCCAATAATAGTTCTGTAACAGCGTATTATAATCTTTGAAGATTAGTAGATCTTTAGAGGGGGGTGGGGCAGGGGGCAATTTCTATAGATAAAGAACCAGTGTTTGTTGTACAACTGTTGGGGGTCATCTATGCCATGTGAAGCTATTATTTTTCTGAATCTTACTGTTTCTGCAATTGTGTCCTCCACCACTCCCTTCTTGGCTGACATTGATATGCCCGCCGGATTGTCATCAAGGGTTATACTTCAATAAAGGGTGCTAAGGACAAAAAAAAAAAAAAAAAATCTCAAGTGTTTTGATTGAAGTGACAGAAATTCTCTAAAATTCTACTGAAAAATATGGGAAAGAAATTTGGTCACCTATCTATAATCCTTCATATGTAACCATATGACCAGAGCCTTACCCACATCCCTACTCTTACCGTGGCCCCTCAGGGATAGCACTGATGCTATACCATTCATTAACCCCAGGAAAATAATTTAGAATTCAGGAAGCGTCAACAATAGGTGTAATCTTAATTGTAGACCTCAGCAGTATACAGAGTCCAGTCATAGAGTCTAGCCTGATCAGAGAGATGAGGCACTTTCTAGACCACCTCCAGTCATGAGTTCTGTCCACTAGTATCATCTTCTACCTGATAGTCCAGTCTCATACCTTGCTTCTTAGCAACCTGGAGAACAAGGTTCTCACTGATCCACTCTCCAAGATAACCTCAAGGTTTAGACCCAAATGCACCCCTGGCAGCAACTCTGACCCTGAAAAGCATGCCTTGTCCCTCAGTGTATACATTGTTTGTAGCCCAAGTGATCTCTTCCTATTCGGGATATCCAGTGTGACAGAGTGGAAAGTGCCCGGCTTTGGCATTAACATGAACTGTGTCCAAGTCCTGGTTTTGCCACTTATTCTGTGAGCTTGGGTTATTTGCTCAACTTTTGAGTTTATTTTCTTGTCTGTAAAATGGGAATAATAATACATATCTTGCATAGTTGTGGCTTAAAAATAATAAATGAAAGCTACGAGCTATCTACTGAGAAGTTGTTAGAAAGGCAGAATCCTGGCTCCACCCCAAACCAACTAACAGCAGTCTGCATTTTAACTAGATTCTCAGAAGATTTATATGCATATTAAAGGTTGAGAAGCATTAACGGGTCATAAACATGCTCAGTACATGGTAACCTATTATTCTAGTCCTGATTTATCTAATTCATTCTTTTGTAATCCAAGGCATATTATTGATCTTCTCATACTGCTCACAACTACCTGCCTAAATGAGTTCAACAAGGTTGCAGGATATAAGATTGATACATAAAATCACTTGTATCTCTACACACTAGTAATCAACAATCTGGAAACAAAATTAAGAAAACAATTCCATTTACAATAGCATCAATAAGAACAGAACACTTAGGAATACAGTTAACAAAGGAAGTGTAAGAATTTTATACTGAAACTACAAAATGTTGTTGAAAGAAATTAAATAAAATCTAAAAAAATTATTTAGATTAAAATCTAAACCTAGTATTTACATGACATTACTCCCTAAATTGATCTACACATTCAATCCAATCTTTATAAGAATGCTGGCTGTCTTTTTTGCATAAATTGAAAAGTCAAACCTACAATTCATATAAAATTGCAAGGGACCCAAAATAGTCAAAACAGTCTTTAAAAAGAACAAACTTGGAGAATTCACACTTCTCAATTTCAAAACTTATTACAAAGCTACAGTAATCAAGACAGTGTGGTACACATACAAAGATAGACATGTAAATAAACAGAATAGTATTGAAAGTACAAAAATAGTAAGTCCTCAGGGGCGCCTGGGTGGCTCAGGTGGTTAAGCGTCTGCCTTCTGCTTGGATCATGATCCCAGGGTCCTGGGATCAAGCCCCGCATCAGGCTCCTTGGTCGGCAGGGAGCCTGCTTCTCCCTCTACCTGCCACTACCCCTGCTGTGCTCTTTCTCTCTGTCAAATAAATAAATAAAATCTTGAAAAAAAAAAGAAAGAAGCCCTCATATTTAGGATCAGTTAATTTTCAGTAAAGGTGCCAAGATAATAAAAAATAGAATAGTTTTTCAACAAATGATGTGGGGACAAATAGGTATCCACACAGAAAAAAATGAAGTTGGACTCCTTCCCTACACCACACACAAAAATTAACTTAAAAAGGATTATAAACCTAAATGTAAGAATTACATTTATAAAAAAAGTTACAAAACACTTAAAAGAAAGCATAGGAGTAAATCATCTTGAAATTGTGTTAGGCAAGATTACTTAGAACTCCAAAAGCACAAGTGGCAAAAGAAAACATGAATAAATTAGAGTACACCAAAATTAAAAACTTCTTTGCTGCAAACAATACCACCAAAAAAGTGAAAAGATAATCCACATAATCAGAAAAATATTCACATATCACATATTTAATATTAAACTTTTATCCATAACATATAAAGAACTGTTACAACTCAATAATAAAAATAAGTAACTAAAAAATGGGCAAAGGATCAGAATAGACATTTCTCCAAAGAATATATGCAATGGGCAATAAGCACAGGCAAAAATGCTCAACATTAAAGAAATACAAATCAAAACAACGAGATACCACTTCATACACTATGATGGGTATGATCAAAAGGACAATAACAAGTGTCGGTGAGGATACAGAGAAATTGAAACACTCATACATTGCTGGTGGGAATGTAAAATGATGTGGCCACATTGGAAAACAGGCATTCAACACAGGCAGTAACCTCTTTGATATCAGCCATAGCAACTTTTTTTTTTTTAGATATATCTCCTCAGGCAAGGGAAACAAAAGCAAAAATAAACTATTTGGACTACAACAAAATGAAAAACTTCTGCACGGCAAAGGAAACAATCAAAAAACTAAAAGGCAACCTACAGAATGAGAGAAGATATTTGCACATGACATATCTGATAAAGGGTTAGTATCCAAAATATATAAGGACTTGATAGAACTCAACACCCAAAAGACAAATAATCCAATTAAAAAATAAACAGAAGGCATGAATAGGCATTTCTCCAAAGAAGACATCCAGATGGCCAACAGACACATGAAAAATGCTCATCATCACTGATCATCAGGGAAATACAAATCAAAGCTACAATGAAACATCACCTCACCCCTGTCAGAATGGCTAAAATCAACAAGACAAGAAACAACAGGTGCTGACAAGGGTGTGGAGAAAGGGGAACCCTCTTGCACTGTTGGTGGGAATGCAAGCTGGTGCAGCCACTCTGGAGAACAGTATGGAGGTTCCTCAAAAAGTTAAAAATAGAACTACCCTAACATCTGGCAATTGCACTACTAGGTATTTACCTACAGAATGCAAAAACACTGATTCAAAGGTATACTTGCCCCCTGATGTTTATAGCAGCATTATTTACAATAGCCAAGATATGGAAGCAGCCCAAGTGTCCATTGATGAATGGATAAAGAAAAAGTGGTGTTTATATATATACAATGGAATATTCCTCGGCCATAAAAGAGAATGAAATCTTGACATTTTCAATGACGTGGGTGGAACTAGAGGGTATTGTGTTAAGCAAAATAAGTCAGTCAGAGAAAGACAAATACCATGTGATTTCACTCATATGTGGAATTTAAGAAACAAAACAAACAAGCAAAGGGAAAAAAAAAAGAGAGAGAGGGAAGGAAACCAAGAAACAGACTCTTAACTATAGAGAACAAACAGATGGTTACCAGAGGGGAAGTGGGTGGGGGGGTTGGGTAAAATAGGTGATGGGGATTAAGGAGTGCACTTGCTATGATGAGCACCGGGTGTTGTATAGAAGTTGAATCACTATATTGTACACCTGAGACTAATATAACACTGTATGTTAACTAACTGGAATTATAACAAAAACTTTTTTAAAAAGATAAAGCAGAGCATGAAAAAAAACCACATGTACACAAATGTTCAAAGAGTCATTACTTATAATAGCCAAAAAGTGGAAACAACCTAAATGTCCAATGAAGAATGGATAAACTTTGGTCTAGCCATACAACAGATTATTGTTCAACCATAAAAAGGGATGAAGTACTGATACATGCTGCAACATGGATGAACCCTGAAAACATTATGCTGAGTGAAATAAGTCACAAAAGACCACATATTGTATG